AGGGCCAGGGCCTGCGAAGGCCACCTGCAAAGTTCCCGGGCTGAAGTCAGTGCCCTGGCCCAACAAAGAGACTATTTAAAAGAAGAACTTGACACTGTTCACCGGGAGCTTAAACATGCGTATAGACTGCAAAGTGACTCTAAAAGGAAAATGCACACCACAGAATTTTCCCTAACCAGTAGACTGATACCTCCTAGTCAAGAATTCCCAGTTCGAAAGGGGGGTGAGAGCCCACTGCTCAAGACATCACCTGCCAGCATCCCAGAACCCCCAGCAGCAGCAAGGGGGTGGGAGCCTTTCCAAAGTCTGTCTTCCAGTCACGGTGTGTCACTTAAAGACTTGGATAAGCTGGCTAGAAACATTCCCACTTTCACTCCAAACCCTGCAGGAGGACACGAGGTGCATGCCCACTTAAAAGACATTGACTTTCACTTGCAAACTGTTGCCAATGCTACCACACGAGACAGACTCTATCTGCTCTGGATCACCGCCAGCCGTGAGGTGAGGAGCTTTCTAGACCGGCAGCCAGAAACGATCAAAGTGGATTACCAGCAACTGCAGCAGGCTTTGATTAAGGAGTTCTCTGACCCAGAGTCAGAGCAAGGACTGATTACTGCCATGGACCTTAAACAGGGCAGACAGGAAACCACACAGGCTTACTACAACAGGCTCAAACAGGCCTACTTCGGAGCACGGAATGAGCGAGGAATGGAACAGGATTTCAACTTCAAAATTCTGTTCCTCCGGAACCTGCACCCAACAGTGAGTCACCACTTGGGGGTTCTGGCTTGCCCTCGGACTATGTCCACCCAACAGCTGCGAGATTTGGCCCAGGAGGCCTATGCCAAACAAAGGACTGCTTCTGAAAACACAGGAAAAAAAACCACAATCTATCCTGTCACTAATCAGAGTTCAGAACTTGCTCTAGAGGGCGCCGAGCCAAGCCACAATGACAAACCTGTCAACACAATGTCAAGATCCTTCCCAACCAGCAGAGAGCAGCATGGCCATGGTGGTGCCCGTCCTAAGCACCAGTATGAGTGCCCCGAGAGATCCTGGGACAGGTCACAACCACCCCTCAACCGAAGGGGTGGAGCCACATGGGAAGCCAAGAGACGGCCCAAGGGGAACCGACACTCACAGACACAAGCACCGAGCTCGGACTGCCAGCAGCAGAACCCCTCTCAACAGGCCCTGGACAAGCCCAAATATAAACCATCCACAGAACAGAACCAGAAAGCTACATCT